GTGTGTATTTCAATCTGCTATTACATTTAACACTCCCTCTCCCCCCAGACTGACAATGCTGCTGTCCAAATGTGCCACCTCTGCTCCATCAATCAGAATGGGGGTACTCTAATACAGAAGATGTGTTACTGGCCAGATCACCAGGAGAACACGGAGGAGGAAACAGCCTAAAAAGAAAAATGAATGCAGCCACCACATCTAAAGATTGGTAGGCTGCAATATAAATTTAAATGTAACTTGTGAGCCACTTAATGTAATTCAAATAAGGTTCGCTGACATAAAACACATCCTCATATCATGTGTGCTTATCCTTTTAAGGACTAAAATGCTTTATTGTGTGCCCAAATACACTCACATTGAGATAAGAAACCGCTTTGTTTAAAATCAACTTCAGACAACTGTGTGCACTGCACACATAGTATACTCGCCGTCCACGGGTGTGTAGTGATGTCTTAGCCCCTCCCCTACGCGTTACGCCGCAGGTCACGCGGCTTCATCAGGGGGTTGTGATTGGTGCACACAGTTGTCTGAAGTTGATTTAAAACAAAGCAGTTTTCTTATCTTACTTAATGTGAGTGCATTTGGGCACACAATAAAGCATTTTAGTCCTTAAAAGGATAAGGCACTATGTCTGTATTTTTTTTCTTACTGAGGAACATCTAAGGAGGAGATAAAGAGCAGGAGAAGGAGTGAAAGATCCCTGCGGGGATAGTGGCAAGGAGGATAAGAGCATTGGGAAGCAATTAAGGGATACCCACCATTCTTCACATGGTGCAACAGAATTTCTAAAAGTTCCATATGTGAACAAAAAGCGAAGTACGCCTGTTACAGGCTGAAAAGGAGGTGAGCGCATAACCTAATCACAATAAGAAGTCACTGGGAATTGCAATCACTTATTTTTGATCACTTTTATTGGGATTTACCAATAGAGACTTTTTCATATTATTTTTATTCCCTTTCACAACTGTTTTTGGATCACATTATATTTTGGGACTATCACTAATAAGTTGGTACCAGAGACTTTATGTTTTTTTTATTATTTTTCTTAATATTATTTTTTAATTTTATTGATTTGTCATTCAAATTTGTTTGTCATTTGCTCTAAACTATATATTCTGATAGTTGCTTAATTACTATATGGGTAATAATTGATAATAATTAGGAGCGCAACATTTATTGAAAAATAATTTTTGGTAGGCTGCAATATGTCACAATTTTGGTTTTGGGTTTAATACCACCTTAAGCTGGGAGTGGTTGGATCATATTGAGAAAAGACCAATGTGTGTGCCGGATGAGTTTCACTGCTAAAAGAATATTCTGTTCGGCTCAAATTTAAGACTGGAGGCAGAATCCCCTCAGCGATACATGACATAGTCATACAATGCATGATTCCTACATAAACTAAGGAGAGAAAAAAAAAAAAGCACCCATTGGTTTCAATCAGAGGTATTTTGAAATCAGTGGGTCTGTGTACAAAATTGTCAAGTTGGGCCCCAAAGCTTGATTAAAAAAACCAAAAAAAAAAAAAAAAGGTGGTGTGCTTAGTGCACCACAATGAAGAGCGAGCATGGTTTACATTGTGCCAGGGGTGTTGCTAGGATTGTAAAGGACCTTTGAGCACAAAAAGTAGAGGATTAATGGGAGCAAACCCCACACAGGCAGAGGGGGAACATGCAAACTCCAGGCAGGTAATGCCATAGTTGGCATTCAAACTGATGATCCTAGTGCTGCCAGGCAGAAGTACTAACCACTTAGCCACTGTGTTGCCCAATTTTGCATCAGAAGAAATAACAGTAATAATTTTTGTTTGCTAAAAACTATTTTAACTGCTGTTTTGGGGAATTTTACAGAAGCAATTTCTTACTCAAGTATGGCCAAAATTTGCCACTCACGACTATGACTGCGTGTCATAAATAATGATGGCTGCAGCTTACTATACAAATTACAAGAACTCACTATGATGTCATACATGCATGTAATGGTTCTTGTAGGCTACACTGTGAGTGGATCAGAGATATAAATAATTGCTAAATGATCAGGTGTTAGCACAATTAGATTGCAGACAGACTGTGATGGGAGGTGTGCCCTGCAAAAATCACAAACATCAAACTGGGTGTTCCTGATTACCAGATATTGACAGAATTTTGTCACCTGTTGCACTCAGGGAATGCTTGAAAAAAAAAACAAAAAGCCTTTGGCAGGAGAGATAAAAAAAATGTTCCAACTCCTTCTGCTAGTACTTTGGGAAAAGGTCATGGGACAGATGGTCATAAAAACTAAACAAATGGCTATCACTTTCTATTTTGCTTGATTTCAATATAAAAGGTACATTTATATGTAAATCGCATTGAATATTTAAGTACTTTGCTTTAATACAACCTGTGGAGTAATACTTTACATAGTTCTAAAGTGAACAAAACATTTTTGCTATGTCATGCTTTGTCATAGATTCTGAAAAATTAAATACATCTGGTTAAAAAAATAGTAAATAGCAGATGTTGAACGTATCCCTTGTTTTTACATATGTCGGGCAGGATGTGAAAATAAATCACTGTTCCTTGTGATGAATAATTTATTTCGGCACTCCTTTTGATGATTTCATTTTTGTTGTTCGTATATTTCCAATACAGATGTAACCATCATTCCCAATCTCATCACAATATGTAAAACATGTTCATATAATTTATGGCAAATAAAACAGCATAACTGTATGCTAGGAAAACAAACACATGCTTTTGAAATTCCTTCTTGCTAAACCATAGCTATCCTGCTTTTGTCAGATTTTACCTACCAAATATATAGCACTGACCCCTTTTGAGTGATCAAGAAATAGTTCCATGAATTCAGTTTGTTTTTCTTTGATTTGAAATATGCAATCTAAGGCCTGGTTCACTTCATATTTTTACATTAATGCACGATAGGTGCACTGTGGTGCAATCTATTCTGGATGACACTTCAATGCACCTTCCTGCGGATAACATGTGTTGCAATGCGCTGGTAAAAATTTTGCATGCACTATTTCTACCAGCACATCACAATGAACATTATTGCAGTTCTGCATATTGTCTTGCAACACACGTTCCTTGGAAAGCATGAGTCATTCCCACTGAATGGTAGCGCATCACACCAGAACGTGCGTTGTAGTACATTTCCATAAAAACTAAGTGTGTATGGGCCCTGGGCAAAGTTAAAAAAAAGGCACATAAACATACTCCAAAAAGTCCACATGCTTGAATGTTATTTTCCACCATGCAGTTTTTTTCACTACGTCAAAGAAGGTAACCTGCCAGGAAACAGATTTCAATGTAACAAGTGAACATCTGCCCATATCATGCACACTAAATTATTCCCATAATCCCTCATTTATCTCTGTATATGTAACCATTGAGAAGAATTTAATTCAAAAATCACAATAAAATCTTAGACCTTTCCCTACTAATTTCTTTGGTACCAGAATCCAAGGAGGCTGCCAGCCTGTAATTAACTAGCAGGTGTTTCTACGCAGTTATGGATCATTTAGGCTAGGTTCAAAACTCTGCGTTCCTGCAGGCCACGTTTCGCAGGCACGAGACCCATTCATTTGAATGGGCTCCTGTGCCCCGGGACATGCAGGGAAGAAGTCCCTGCACTTTGGAAAACGCAGCCCGCACGGGAATCTCGGTTCCCAGTATGGATGTGTTTTGCAGTGCAGGCAGCATGCCATTAGAACTAATGGCACCCGCCCGCGGGTCCGCATTCCTCTGTGCGGGTGGTGTGGCTGCACGGATTTTTGTGTAGATCCGCAGCGGCACCACATGCACAGATGTGAACCAGGGGTTACACCTGCAGCATTGTTCATTGCTCCTCTGAAAAGCGAACTGCAACGGACTGCTTTTTAATGACATTTGACAGGTAGCTCAGAGCCAGCCAATATATCATCTCTTTACTGCCGGATTCAAACCTTGAAAGGCCGCAGCAATCTGCCTCAACCTTCTGCAGTAGAAACAGCTCCGGCATGGCCTCATTCTCTTAATTCGGTTGCGTTTGGTGGCAGCACTGCCAGCCATATGTGACCTGACGTAATTTCTGCTTCACCACCACTGCATGAAGGAATATGGCCAGTGGCCATATTAACTTGAGGCTGGGCACCTTCATGTAAACATGGCGTTAGGCCTTAGGCCTCAGAAAACTACCTAAACTGAACTCTGGAGCGTTTGCTGTGATCTTTGAATAATGTCACCCTGAAAGCAGCTAGAAAGGTCAGGAATGCCTTGTTTTAAGGATCTTTTACTGGTTGTTAAAGATAAGGTTTAGTCATTTTTTTTTTACTGCAGGCAACTGCTTCTACTCACAAACCTCTGCGTTGTGTTCTCTTCTCAACCAAGAATTACCGCCCTTAATGGTGGTCTTTTGACGCTGTTAAGGTCAACACCAGCAGCTAATTAGGAAAGTTGCACTGCTCACCCACCTTTTCCGCCTCCCCCACAATTCATAGAAATCACCTTATTACATTCCTATGATGCATCATGTTCTGTGAATGGAGGAGGAGTTGCATGACAACATCTTCTCTGCCCATTCACAGAACTACACGTATCAAGTGAGAGCAATAAGACAATAAAGATGAATTCTGAGGGGCAAAGAAGACATGAGGCAGCGGGTGAGCCGTGCAACTTCCCTTCATGTCTTTATGTGTATGGTGATGTATCCCAAATTAAAAAAAAAAAAAAAGTGGCACATTGTACTTACTGTAAAATCCCTTTCCATTGAGGGACACAGCTCCTTCCCCTATCAGGGAAGCTTTTGCCTTTGTTGTTTTTCATACTGTATAGCAGGCAAATTATTGGAAGGATATTGCCCAGAATATCTAATCCTACTGTAAATGGCAGTATACCCCGTATCACCTAATAGACATTTATATATATATATATATATATATATATATATATATATATATATATATATATATATATAATAAAAACACACACTACATAGTGAAATTCCACATTATGTAATTTTTATACCTTGAAGTCGTTCATCTGATATGATTTTGTTAGTCTGATTCCATGTGCTGTCAATAAATACAACTTTCTTCAAACAATCTATATGCTTGCTTTCAGACACTGCATCTTTGTCAATGCCAATAGCCTTGTTTTCTAGCTTTGAACGTTTGAGAGAAGGTTCACAGTCTTCTTTGGGACTACTTTGGCCAGTCAGGCATTTCAGGCTTTCTCGAAGGGAGACAGAATTTGGACTCGGGAACACCAGAATTATCTGGAAAATGATACATAGTTATTTATGTATAAAAACCTTGGAAGACATACCAAAATAATTTAAAGCATAACTGCAGTGGGGTTTGTGTTCTTGGCTGCCTGGGAGACATTTTATTTATTTATTTATCGAGTTTATATAGCGCCAAAGGGTTTGCTCAGCGCTGTACAACAGAGGGGGGGACAATACATGAAACAGTACAGTAACATCAAACAGCACACGAGGGGTAAGAGGGCCCTACTCTTTCGAGCTTACAATCTAGGAGGGAGGGGGTAGATGTACAGGAGGAAATGGCTGTGGGGGATGGAGTGGTAGGAGGAGGGAAGGGACATCAGCCCAAGCTTGAAGACAACCAACACTTAACTTTGCTGAGGTTAAACAGAGGCTCATGGTGACTATAGGGTCAATTCACTAAAGGATTCTGCATGCAATATGAAGGTCATGTGACTCATTTTTTCAGAAATACTGCATGAGATAATAAAGGAGTCAACTCATCAAAGTAAAATTTCGAATGTGAGGTAAATGCCATAAAAAAAAAAAAATCAATCATTTAGCCCTGGTTCATACCGGTGCGACTTCTCATGCGATTTGACAGTTTCAAATCACATGACAAGCTGCACCCTATTGGCAGCAATGGAACCAATCAGTGCAACTCTGACAATGGCGGGATCGCATGGATTTTGAAAGTAGTTTCTGCACTTTTTTTCTATAGACTATAAGTCGCACAATTTCAACGTCAGATTCAGTGTGAACTAGGGCTAAATTCAATTCACTAAAGAAGACACACAGTTATTTATCACCTGCCAGTAGGCAATCAGCATTTTAGCAATGTACAGAATAACAATGAGGAGAACTCTGCACTGGCCAGTAAATGAAATGTATACAATGTATCAGTGTGGAAATGTTCTGCCCTGAGCTCAGAAATGAAAATAAATTGTAACATTTCACCAGAGGGAGAAAGTTCTGTGCATGGAAGCAGCTCGAATGTTTTCAGTTTCATATTTCTGTGTGCATTTATTTACAGAACAATCTTCCTATGGTGCAGTGTTAGCATGTAGAAAAAAAATAAATTGGGAAAAAACACCAAAAATAACAAAACTATTTAAACACATTCGGTAAATAACGCATGTTTTTAGGTGAATTTACAACTTTTGATAGAAATACTGCACAAGTGATTTTTCCTGAAAAATGCATGCGTTATTTATCTCTCAGTGAATCGACCCATATGACACATGAGAAGCTCACTTCCATGCTCACTGACACCCACGCTAAATTTCTTAAGGCTTGGGACACGTGGCTGACCTATACCGACCACTTGATTCCGGACCGCTCCCTACTTTCGGTGTGATCAATTTACGTGGTTGTCGCTGCTTGGTATTCTCTGTACCCTTGTTCCCCCCTTTCCTTTACCATGCCCCCGTTTCCTCTTTTGTGCTTGTCACTTTTTCCTCTTCTTTTCCATCTTCCTTACAGGGGCACTTTATGACTTTGTAATTGAGGAATCCAAACAGGATCTTTATGGTTTCCTAATTTTACTGCATATCCTTTGGAGATGCGTTTTAAATTGCCTCTGTATTCATATTCTTGTACAGATGTTGGGTACTTTCTACGCCACCCTTTGTTTGGTGCACTTGTATAACCATGTCCTGTGCTACTGTTCATGGTTTGTTTATTTTTTGAACAATAGGATTTATTGAATTTTTTACAACAAAAGATAAAGACCTGTCATGAATTAGCATTCAAAACAGAGGTACAGGACCCCTCATGCGAAATCAAAATAAGAAAAAAAACACAAACGCTTGCACAAATAAGATGCTTGTGGGTGAACCCTGACAGTTACATAGTTAGTGTGGCTGAAAAAAGACAAAAGTCCATATCTGACGTGACTGTTAAATGCTTGATGCACGGTCATATTACCCCAAATAACTGACACTTCAATGTTCATTGTTTATCATTTAAAAAATGAAATAAAACATTTGTTAAACAAAACATAAACTACAGGCAAGAAGATTAATGCATGTGAACTTTCCTACCTGCCCACAAAATTTGCATGTCTTTCAACCATTCTTGTGATCTAAGCACCCCTTCTAAAAACACAGCCAGATCCCTAACCTGCAGTGAAGTTAGGCAGTACATTTTGGTCAATGACTCACCCCCAGCCTGCTGACTGGACAAAGAAGGAGCAGTAGCACACTGATGTGGTAACCTGTATGCTCCCTCCTCCTGTAAGCACATGTACAGTGCTGGACCAGTTCTATGCAAAGTAAAAGAGCCCTGATTGGCTCAGAGTGTTGACCCTCCCTCTTGCAATCAGAACCTTGCTATACAGGTAATTACTCAAAATTAAAAGCAATGCTACAGGCTATGACACACACACTTTCAGATTACTAAAGTTCAACTTTAAAGAGGTATTAAACCAAAAAGCAAAAAAAATATGAGAACATTGCAGTTTACGAAACAGTAGATATGGTGTCTGCATTAGTTTTCTTTTTCAGCATTTTTCTCTCTGTTATCACCTGGTGATCCAGCCAGTAACACACCTCCTGTATTAGAGTGCCCCACTCTGGATGAAAGAGCACAAGGGCACATTTAGATAAAAACATTGTCAATCTGGGGAGGATATGGAAGTTGGGAGTGCTAAATGTATAGAACCACCTTTCACTGCACTTACAGCTGCAAGTCTTTTTGGGGATGTCTCTATCAGCTTTGCACATCTAGAAAGTGAAAATTTTTGCCCATTCTTCTTTGCAAAATAGCTTAAGCTCTGTCAGATTGGATGGAGAGTGTCTGTGAACGCAATTTTGAAGTCTTGCCACAGATTCTCAATTGGATTTAGGTCTGGACTTTGACTGGGCTATTCTAACACATGAATATGCTTTGATCTAAATAATTCCATTGTAACTCTGGCTGTATGTTTAGGGTCGTAGTCCTGCTGGAAGGTGAACCTCCCCCCAGTCTCAAGTCTTTTGCAGACTCTAACAGGTTCCCACAACATGGTACTGCCACCATCACGTTGGTGTGTTCAGGGTGATGTGCAAGTTTTCCGCCACACATAGCGTTTTGCTTTTAGGCCAAAAAGTTACATTTTGGTCTTATCTGACCAGAGCAGTTTTCTTCCACATTTGCTGTGTCCCCCACATGGCTTCTGGCAAACTGCAAACAGGATTTCATATGGCTTTCTTTCAACAATGGCTTTCTTCTTGCCACTCTTACATAAAGACCAGATTTGTGGAGTGAACGACTAATAGTTCTCCTGTGGACAGAATTTCCTACCTGAGCTGTGGATCTCTGCAGTTCCTCCAGAGTTACCATGGGCCTCTATGCTTCTACTCTGAATAATGCTCTCCTTGGCCAGCCTGTCAGTTTAGGTGGACGGCCATGTCTTGGTAGGTTTGCAGTTGTGCCACTCTCTCCATCAGATGATGGATTAAACAGTGCTCCATGAGATGCTCAAAGCTTGGGATATTCTTTATAACCTAACCCTGCTTTAAAAAACGTATCCACAACTTTATCCATGACCTGTCTGGTGTGTCCCTTGGCCTTCATGATGCTGTTTGTTCACTAATGTTCTCCAACAAACCTTTGAGGGCTTCACAGAACAGCTGTATTTATACTGAGATTAAATTACACCCGGGTGGACTCTATTTACTAATCAGGTGACTTCTGAAGGCAATTGGTTCCACTAGATTTTAGTTAAGGGTATCAGAGTAAAGGGGGCTGAATACAAACACACGCCACACTTTTCAGATATTTACTTGTAAAAAATGTTGAATCATTTATCATTTTCCTTCCACTTCACAATTATGTGCCACTTTGGGTTGGTCTATCATTTAAAATCCCAATAAAATACATTTACGTTTTTGGTTGTAACATGACAAAATATGGACAATTTCAAGGGGTACGAATACTTTTTCAAGACACTGTAATCCAAGTTCAATAAGGCCGTGTTTAGTTACGTGTTGAACTGACAATTTATGTACATTACTTCTGGATGTTTTCAATATAGTAAGAACTGCCCATTAAAGAAAAAAAATGAAAGGAAAACTAGAGGCTTTCAGAAGGCTCCTTCAATAAAAGTCAAATGAACAGAGCAGGGCCGGCAGGACCACCCAATGATTGAAATTCTCTTAGTCTATCATCATCTTAAAAGTCACTGGATCAGCATAATACCAAGGCAATTAGCATTTTAAAGTTGAAGTTTAGCTAAAAAACATTTTTTTTCTCCACATCTTTAGTTACTTTACTTACCATTAATTAAGAATGTCTCACAATGTGAAGACTGCTGGATTCTGTAGAATCTTCACTGCAGGGTTGCCCTGTCCTCTTCCTGTTGTTGAACTTCCAGCGGTGTGGAGGTTAACAGCTTTGGGTCTCAGGGCTCAACTGCACTAAAGATGATCCGATGGTGGCACACTGCCTAGTTCCCTCTCCTCCATGGAGAAAGTTATTTCACTGACTACACTGCCTGTAACATTATCTGTGAATAGGGGGTGAGAATTTTCACACAGATGACTCTCCCCAATTGATTGTTTTTGGGGTTCACACAACTCTAAAATACCATGAGATGAAGAAATAATCACACAAGCTGCATGTATGTTGTTTCCCCTTTGCACCCACTACAGATAGCTCTGAGTCATACAAAATTTGTCAATCCATTGCTTCCCTTTCTAATTCAGCTACTGGCTGGTGATGAAAGTATATGATCTGCATATGGAAAAAAAAATCAAAACACGCACACACACACACCAGATAAAGAAAATTGAGGATATTTAGGAAAAAATATAAAACCATTTCAATAAAATTAAATGTGCAATACACACCTCATGCTTGTGATTGTCATAATCTGGAATACAAGGGTAAGTGTATACGGTGACATCCTCATATGCTAAAAGTTTAGCATGAACAGCTGTGCTTTTTCCATCAGTTTCATTAGGGTGTTTAATAATGTCAATTTTCACCGGAAGCTGAATGTAAAAAAAACAAAATCACAACTTACTGGATTTTTACAACTGCACAATATACATGTTCAAATACATTCTAGGCAGCTGTATATAGTGCAAACTGTGCTCTCCTGCTTGCAGACAGCAAGACTCTACAATCTATGTAGGAAACATAAAAAACACAGAACAGCAAGCATATCAACATATGAAAGTCTTGCACTAGGTTTACACGTCAGCCCATTCATTTGAAAAGGTTGCTGCACCTTTTTAAAAATGCAGTCGCAGGGCTTCGCTTTCCGAAACCAAAAAACATGCTGCATTCTCAGATGCTCGGGGGTGCCATTAAGAATTAAGAATTAATGGCAGCAGGGTGGGTTTGATTAAATCAAATCCACTTTAAATTACAATTTAAATCCTGATTTAAATCACTAGTGAAAAGGCTCGATTTAAATCATAATTTTTAAAGAGCAACTGTTATCTCTGTCCCGCAGCGGCTCCTCCTCTGACCCGCTGTTGACTCACCGACAGTCCCATTCACTTTAATGGGACGGCTGGTGATGCGGTAGTGACACAACAAGGTAAGGGATGTGGTGGCAGCAGGTGAGTGGATGCCAGCTAACATGCGCTACTATGATGGGCCTAAAATGACAGGCGCTCTTTAAATGTAAGGAATCCGACTCATTCCTGCTGGTAGTTAGAATCTTTAATATTTGAAGGTTTCCTTTTTATAATAATAATAATAAGCTGTCAGGTTAGTAAAACAGTGATATCAGAACCGATTTTAGGTTAATAGGTTAATCACACATAGCTGGAGAATTACTCAAATTCTTTTGTTTCATGTTTTTCTCATGGTTACGCAGTGCATGTTATCTCAGCTTGCAGAGCTTGGATCCATTGAATGAGTTTGCCAAAAATTTAAATATTGCAGAATATACAGCCTCACGCTACATAGCTCAGCTCCATTTCATGCTGAATAACCTAAATTATCACTGTATCTTAAATATAAAACTTATCTTTAGATATATTTTTTACTCCAAAAACATTTTATTGAATACATTTGATAAAAATAAAAAAAATCTGATTTAAATAAAAAAATCCAATATTTAAAAAAAAAAAAAATAGATTTTTATCCACCGTGAATGGCAACCCCACACATCTGCAAAACCGCAGGAAGGTTTGGCTGTGAGAATATGTGCAATTTAAATGCTGTCCTACACCCACAACAGTGTGAACCTTGCCTATAAAAACTTATAGTCACTGTTTAAAGTGAGCCTGTAGAACATAGGATTGTAAGGCTTTGACTTGGCATTCAATTGTACTTTCACTCAGACACAAATGCCAAATGACAAAAACCCAAAATATACTCACAGCCCTACTGCAATGAGCCTTGACAGAAAAAGATGTACCTAAATCTGGCCACAGACAAATTTTTTTTGTATTCAGTCAGCAAACTGAACAGAAAAAATTCTAACAGATTCCTTCACTCATGCTATACAGAGTGGATGGACAAGTCTACTGCTGCGGTGATTGTATTCCGGCAGCCAGCATCAGCAGCTGCCAAAATACCCGAATATTGGCTGCATCTGTTTGAATGCAGACGCTGCTAGGCCAACAATTTAGCATCCAGCTCCTTTGGTTTTTCAGTCAAAGGAAGTCTGATAGGAAGGTGGCAACAGGACCATCTATGGAATGAATTTCAGCCAATTCATCAAGCATTGGACTAAATTCACATAGTGTATGACTAGCTTTATCCTTTGACTCATGCCCTTATAGTATGGAGAATCCACCAAGAAATGGTGGAACTGCAAGATAAAACATTCTTCCAAAATGGTAAGAAAGCTGGCAGTCTAAAATGAACTGTGGCATCTAAATAAACCCAACAGATGTCATCACATCCAGGGAATGGACGGAAATCTGTTTGGATGAGTTGGAGATGAACTAAAAAAGCCCATGGCACAAATGCGCAAAACAGCACTTCTCGGCGTATATTACACTTCACAAGCCTGTTGCTAATCTGACAGAGCCATATGGTAGAGTAATGCTCAGTTTAAGAAGCTGGTTTAGATTGTGCATGAGGAGCGTGAAGATCCACCCGCTACATAGTGGTGACCCAATTTAAAAATCTGATTTTATTAAGATCGGTCTTATTGAACAGTGCAAAGGTTGGAGTGTCCAAGTGAACACTTCCGCCTAAGTGCCACCTAAGGCAACTGATTCAACTTGCCTCATGGCAGGAATGGACTTGGGTGTTGCTTCTCAGACTGAAGCTTTTAGTAAATTCTACAATATTTGAGCTGTACGTGATAAAATCCATGTGCCAAATAAATGTAGAAATGTTTTCAGAATAACCAGAGTTGTCCTGTCAGAAAAAGGAAGGGAATGTATTGGGAGATATGATTCAATAGTTTAGATGCACAGTATGCATCCAATTCTCTATTTTTTTTTGTTGTGACAGATAAGAGATTGCCTACCTTCACAGATGGGATTTCACCTGTTGGTACACTTTCCACTGGTACGTAGCAAGTATAACAATAAAACATTCGGGAGCTGTTACACTTTGGACATTTTGACCTTCCCTTCTTTTGGGCTACTTCAAGCACTTCTTGAGAGGAGACTTGCAAATTTTTCAAAAGGTAATTTTCTGAGGATCCACAGATATTTTTCATTTGTTTGTCAGTTGACATTATTCATACAATGCATTTGGCCTACAACATGAAAGGGACAAGTAAGGCACAATTTTAGTGAATGGCAGCAAAAATAAAAATGCACTTCAAAGCAAGACTTTTCCATAGAGGAGATGACAACCAATATTAGAGAAACCTGAAAGCAAAAGTGGGATAAAAAGTTCTACCAAACCCAGCAGCAGCCACACATAACACACAATTCAGTAGTAGCAAATTATTTTAAAGCCGAATTCCAGGTATGGATTTATTTTTGTATAGCTACATTAGTCCAGTTTGCACCAATGTAAGTATACATATGCCATACCAATGGGAAAGTAGAGAATTACTGTAGTAGTTGCAACTATTACAGTGATTGCCACTGTCTTCCCGGTCCTGTGCAGAGCAGTTGTCTTTCTACATAGTGAACAGAGGGGGGAACTCACTTGACCTGGGTGTCAAACACAGGATGCCTTACAGGGGTAGGTAAACTTTGGTCCTTCAGCTATATCAGAACTACAAGTCCCATGAGAGATGCAGGACTTTGACAGCCAAAGACATGACTCCCAGAGGCATAGGCATAATGGGACTTGTAGTTTTGTAATAGCTGGAGGGCCACCGTTTGCTTACCTCTGCCTTACATCTTTCTCAATGAATACAAGACGTTCTCCGACTGGACAAAGTGAAGAGGCAGTGCAGTGATCTTCACCTCACCCAATCAGGGAACACTGTTTTCACAGAGGAAAAAAAAGGTGTTTTGCAAATAGCACCTGTGCCGAGCAAACAACCACGTGTTCACTATGCACAGGACCTTAAGACAGCGGTGATCACTGTGATAGCGCCAATTATTACAGTGATTTCCAGATTTCGCAGCATCCCACACCTGCACCTTGTGTTTTTCACCTGCATAAGATGCGCATTGATCATGGAGTTTCATATTGTCATGTCCTGTACACACAGCCTATAGTATAGTAAATCTTCACATACCTGTGTCAGCAGTTTCTGTTCAAACATGAGGCATGCAGCATGGCACTGCACAGGTTAATGCATGATCTCTGTCTATAATCTAAGAACTGACACTTTCTGTGAAGAAACTATATATCCCACAATCCCTGGGTCTCTCAGTCTAGTGCTCTTCAGGTGAGAGCCAATCAGTAATTAGATGTGGCACAGACCAAGCAAGCTCAGCAAATAGAGAGATCACAATGCAGTCTTTCATCACATTAGCACTCCAACATATGTGATCCAACACAGACATTAACTGGATGCTATGTAATCCAAAACAAGAATGTTCCCAGTCTGCAGTGGTGAAAAGTTACCAAAAGTGGCCCAAGGAAGGAAACCCGGTAACTGGGTCATGGATGGTTACGGCTCACTGATACACGTAGGGAATAAAGGCTGGTCCATGTAATCGGATCCAAAAGAAGGGGTACTGTAGTTCCAATTGCTGAAAACGGTAAAGCAGACCCCCCCCCCCCTTTTTTTAAACTTCTGCTTACCGGATGGTGTGTTCGGCAAAGTTAAGATAATCATCCACCCAGCTCATCCAGATTTGTCCTGCCAAGATCCTCTTCTATTCTCCCACTGATCGAGTCCTGTGCTGCCGTGTTGTGTGTGATGTAATTGAGGGGCTCACTGGCTCTTTTGGGTTCAGCTGGCAGGAATCACGATGATGTACTGCTAGACCCACCCCCTCCTCCATCGTGAGGACTATGCTCCATCGTCCAGTTCTGAGGCTCACAGCCCATTGGCTGTGGACACACATATGCACACCACGTACAGTGGGGCAAAAAAGTATTTAGTCAGCCACCAATTGTGCAAGTTCTCCCACTTAAAAAAATGAGAGAGGCCTGTAATTGGCATCATAGGTAGACCTCAACTATGAGAGACAAAATGAGAAAAAAAATCCAGACAATCACATTGGCTGATTTGGAAAGAATTTATTTGCAAATTATGGTGGAAAATAAGTATTTGGTCAATATCAAAAGTTCATCTCAATACTTTGTTATATATCCTTTGTTGGCAATGACAGAGGTCAAATGTTTCCTGTAAGTCTTCACAAGGTTGGCACACACTGTTGCTGGTATGTTGGCCCATTCCTCCATGCAGATCTCCTCTAGAGCAGTGATGTTTTGGGGCCGTCGCTGGGCAACACAGACTTTCAACTCCCTCCAAAGGTTTTCTATGGGGTTGAGATCTGGAGACTGGCTAGGCCACTCCAGGACCTTGAAATGCTTCTCACGAAGCCACTCCTTCATTGCCCGGGCAGTATGTTTGGGATCACTGTCATGTTGGAAGACCCAGCCACGTTTCATCTTCAATGCCCTTGCTGATGGAAGGAGGTTTGCACTCAAAATCTCACGATACATGGCCCCATTCATTATGTCCTGTACATGGATCAGTTGTCCTGGTCCCTTTGTTGAGAAACAGCCCCAAAGCATGATGTTGCCACCCCCATGCTTCACAGTAGGTATGGTGTGCTTTGGCTGCAACTCAGCATTCTCTCTCTTCCAAACACGACAAGCTGTGTTTCTACTAAACAGTTCTATTTTGGTTTCATCTGACCATATGACATTCTCCCAATCCTCTTCTGGATCATCCAAATGCTCTCTAGCAAACTTCAGACGGGCCCGGACATGTACTGGCTTAAGCAGGGGGACACGTCTGGTACTGCAGGATCTGAGTCCCTGGTGGCGTAGTGTGTTACTGATGGTAGCCTTTGTTATGTTGGTCCCAGCTCTCTGCAGGTCATTCACTAGGTCCCCCCCGTGTGGTCCTGGGATTTTTGCTCACCATTCTTGTGATCATTTTGACCCCACGGGGTGAGATCTTGCGTGGAGCCTTAGATCGAGGGAGATTTTCAGTGGTCTTGTATATCTTCCATTTTCTAATTATTGCTCCCACAGTTGATTTGTTCACACCAAGCTGCTTGCCTATTGCAGATTCAGTCTTCCCAGCCTGGTGCAGGTCTACAATTTTGTTTCTGGTGTCCTTCGACAGCTCTTTGGTCTTCACCATAGTGGAGTTTGGAGTGTGACTGTTTGAGGTTGTGGACAGGTGTCTTTTATACTGATAACAAGTTCAAACAGGTGCCATTGATACAGGTAATGAGTGCAGGACAGAGGAGCCTCTTAAAGAAGAAGGTACAGGTCTGTGAGAGCCAGAAATCTTGCTTGTTTGTAGGTGACCAAATACTTATTTTCCACCATAATTTGCAAATAAATTCTTTACAAATCAGCCAATGTGATTGTCTGGCTTTTGTTTCTCATTTTGTCTCTCATAGTTGAGGTCTACCTATGATGTCAATTACAGGCCTCTCTCATCTTTTTAAGTGGGAGAACTTGCACAATTGGTGGCTGACTAAATACTTTTTTGCCCCACTGTATCCCAGGAGGCACAGTGAGCATTGTGCAGGTGGTAAAAGGTAATGGTAAATAAAAAACAAAAAAATAAAACAAAAGCACTATTTATGGAGAGGAGGGACCCTTATTTAGAGGGTAAAGACCTGCTTTAATGCTGGCTCATATAGAAAAGTCTCAGAACACACAAAGTATGGCAGTTTGTTGTGTATGGAGCTGCGTAGCTGCAGACTGGTCATGGTGCCCATGCTGACCTGTGTCCGCAGTCAAAAGCACCTGCAATGGCTATGTGAGCATCAGAACTGGGCCTTAGAGCAAAGGAAGAAGGTAGCCTGGTCTGATGAATTAATTACTTCAATACCGGGCACTTTTAACCCCTTCCTGGCCAGGCCAATTTTCAAAAAAAATTCTGAAAATTTTGAAAAAAAAAAAAAACAAACCCCAAAACACTTTTTTTAAATTTTGAAAATAAATAATCTTACTTCATCAGTTTAGGACAAAATGTGTTCTGCTACATTTCTTTGGTGAAAATAACCCAAATCAGTGTTTATTATTTAGTCCAGGGTCTTCAAACTGCAGCCCAAGGGCCAGATGTGGACCTTTGCTAGCCTTTTGCCTTTGGGGCACTATTCCTCCAATGATATGAGGTACTATTCCTCCCACTGACACGAACTATGAGACACTATTTCTTACACTGATACCAATGATGGGGCATTATTTCTGCCATTAATACCAATGATGGGTATTAATAGGAGGAATAGTACCGCATGTTTATTTTCACTGATGCTGGGCCCATGACATTCTCTACACCCACTAGCCACAATCCGGCCCTCCTAAAGTTTGAAGGACAGTAAACCAACCGTTTGTTTGGAAATTGGAGACCCCTGATTAAGTCTGTAGGAAAGTTATAGCGCCCACAAACTATGAGATATATATCTGAAAATTGATCAGTGCTGATGTACTGACAGCCTATCTCATTTCTTGATGTCCAGAAATGCCAGGATAGTACAAATACCTCCAATTATTTAGTAAGAGGCATAGTGAGGTTTTCTAAGTTGTAATTTTATTTTTATCAGATTTTTTTGGGAAAATTAAGAAATTAATAAAACACGTTTTCACTTTTTTTTTTTTAATTTACTGTCAACAATGCAGTACAGAGTAATAATATAACTGGTATGGTGGTGATCAGGGAGGCTGACTGGTGACAGTATGTAAAAAAAATTTTTTTTAAGTTTATTAAATTTTTTTTAGCACTTTTTTCCTTTTTTAAAAAACACAGTGTGATCAGAGCAATATAATCTTACCACAGTAACACATTGTACTACTCTTGGGAAGTGATCAGGTTTTTTTTTTTTATTTTACACATTATGATTTCTTATGTCATTGAATTTCACTGGTAGAAGCAACAATTTTAACTGAATTAAACTGATTCATTCGGTGTGTATTGTTGTGATTAGCTGTGATTGGCCACAGCTAATCACATGGTACAGATGGGATGTGATTGGCCATATGATCACTGTGATCAATCACAGCTAGCAACACAACTGTACACAATGAATGGCATAAATCAAAGCCATTCATTTTTTACAATTGTCAAGTTACCCGCTGTAATGTGTCACAGCGATCACATGGTAGCAGCAGCGGCAT